TCACTTCTCGCACACTCGGAGTTACCCACATCCTTTTGGGGATACGCATTAGAGACTGCGATTTACGTGCTGAATTGGGTTCCAACCAAATCGGTTCCGAGCACTCCATATGAACTTTGGAGCGGAAAGAAACTAAGTGTCAGACACTTGAAGATTTGGGGTTGTCCGACACATTAAAAAAACGAGCCCGGACAAATTGGAATCCCGAACCAGCCGTTGCCTATTTGTAGGCTACCCAAAAAGCTCTATGGGCTATCTATTCTATGATCCAGGAGAACAAAAGGTGTTATGTAGTCAGAATGCCCATTTCTTGGAGGATTACATCCTAAACAATCATCGTCAGGAAGTTCTTGATGAGGAGAGCTTAGGAGTAGTGGGAGATGTCCCACATGTTCTAGGTAGTGATCAACCTAGAAGATCTACCCTAGTATCCAGGCCACCAGTCCGTTATGGTTATGACCAAGATAGTTACCTGGTGGAAGCCTTGACTAGTGAGGAGGATCCCGTGACTTACGTGGAAGCTATGTTGGACATAGATTCCCAAAAGTGGGTAGATGCCATGAGAGCTGAGATGGACTCAATGGAGGCCAATGGAGTCTGAACTCTAGTAGATCTGCCCGCCGGGGTAAAAGCAATTGGTTGCAAATGGATCTATAAGAGGAAGAAGGGCCCCGATGGCAATGTTGACACCTACAAGGCTCACTTGGTGGCGAAAGGGTATACTCAGAAAGAGGGAATCGATTATGAGGAAACCTTTTCACCCATGGCCATGCTTAAATCCATTAGAATCCTACTACCTGTAGCAGCATACCATGACTATGAGATTTGGCAAATGGATGTCAAAACCGCGTTCCTGAATGGAGATCTACATGCAGCAGCCGCAAGGCTTCATTGCTGTTGGTCAAGAACACATGGTATGTAAACTTAATAGATCCATATATGGACTTAAGCAGCTTCTAGGAGTTGGAACATCCGGTTTGACTTTGCCGTCAAAATGTTTGATTTTGAGTAGAACCCAGATGAGCCCTGTGTATACAGGAAGTCCAGTGAGGATAAGGTTACGTTCTTGGTTCTGTATGTGGATGATATCCTACTCATTGGGAATGATGTGGGAATGTTGACCTCGGTCAAAGTATGGCTTTCACAACAATTCTCCATGAAAGATCTTGGAGAAGCGTCTTATACACTAGGTCTTCGACTTTATAGAGATAGATCGAAGTAGATAATAGGATTATCCCAATCTCCTTACATTGACAAAATCGTCAAAAGGTACAACATGGAGAACTCCAAGAAGGAAAACGTTCCTTTTAGGCACAGAGTTACTCTCTCCAAGAAGATGTCTCCCAAGACATCTGAGGAGATCGAAGACATGAAGAATGTTCCCTGTGCCTCAACCGTGGGGAGCATCATGTATGTCATGCTGTGCACTCGCCCCGATATTGCTCACACGGTGAGTGTAGTAAGCAGATTTCAGGCCAACCCATGGCAGGAGCATTGGACCGCTGCGAAATGCATACTTAAGTACCTTCGAAGGACAAAAGAGTTTTGTCTAGTATTCGATGGTACATCACTACAGATCCAAGGGTATACTGACGCTGACTTCCAGTCAGAGCCAGATGATAGAAAGTCTACATCTGGTTACATATTCATGATAGGATCGTGTTGTTTGCTGGAAAAGCAGCAAATATGGGTCTACGGCGGATTCCACAACCGAAGCCGAATACATTGCCGCACATGAGGCTGCCAAGGAAGCCGTGTAGATGAAAAAGTTCATCCAAGAGTTGGGAGTAGTTCCATCCAACACATCACCCATCCCGTTGTTGTGCGACAACAATGGAGCCATTGCTCAGGCTAAGGAGCCACGAGCCCACTCGAAGTCCAAGCACATCGAGAGGAAGTACCACGTACTGCGAGAGATTGTTGGTAGAGGGGACATACTGATTCAGAAGGTAGCTTCAACGGAGAATGTTGCAGACCCATTGACTAAGCCACTCACACAGAAAGTGTTTGAGAAACACGTGGAAAGTATGGG